AGTGGGCATGGTCGTCTGCTCCGTTTCCATGGACTGCCTGATCGGAGAGATTGACAACCTGGCCTGGCAATATTTCAGCTTGCGCTTCCATGGCATGTCGGACCTGATCTGTCTGATGTTCTTCAGCAGCGGCGAAATGCTCTGCGCCTCCGTATTTCTGCATTATCTCATCGCTCACAACCTGAACGATGCGGCCTACGGCGCGGTCATGAGCCTGATTACACACTCCGTGTACACAGCTCTGCCGCTGCTCGTCCTGCACAATTGCTACACGCGCAACACCTATGTGAGTTGAACTCTTGCCCCGCATTTGTGCAAGGGTATTCAAATGGGTTTTTGATTTATTTTACAGATCATGGAAACCGCCAAGTCGGAGACATGCTTTAACTTCTTTTTGGTCATCTTTTTTGGTACACTCTTTCACGTCTCGATGAGTGCGAACGAGTTTCGCATGTCGCTTTTCTACTATCTGCTCATCTTCTGCAGCTCCTTCGTAGTGTTTCAGATGGCCGCCTACAGCGAATGGGTGCATCCTTTTGGTGCATTGCACACCATACAGCCGCCCAGGGAGACACGCAAGCACTGGGCCTAAATCGAAACCGATTTGTGCATTTATCAAAAATTTCAGCTGCAAGAGGTGTAAATAAAATCTTTGCCAACCGATTTCCACCTTGTACACCTTCGCCAGCCGACTTTAAGCCGATTCGCATCTGATTACAGGATAACCCCCTATCACTAGCAAAATGCCAACCAACTCTAGTCACGCTGAACAAAAGCACTTTTGTGCTTAAAACGGGATTCAAAAATAAAATCCGCAAAAGCAGCAAATGTGGCATTGCCTACTTCGGGGGTTGCCAGCTCTTTATTTGGCTGGGCAAATGTGAAATCTTTGCGCCCCAAACGAAATTGATGAATTTTCGTTTGTTGCCATACATTTTGCTTGGGCGTTAGCGTTTAGGGTGTTAGGAGTAGGTAGTTGTGTTTGGAAAGATTTTTAGATTATTAAAAAAATTGTTACAAGAAGCAGAGCTAGACTCCTACAGGATGCCTTTCGCTGGCATATTTTGACATTTGCTAAATTAAAGTGAGTTGCGATTTTTTCCTATCTATCCTTGCCTTTGCTTCCCCAGCTCTTGTAGATGCTGTTATTGTCCCGGCACCTTTTACATTACATATTAATTCATGCATAAAGTGTGAGAAAAAAGGAATTGCGAAATCTGCGCCGACAGGACACGACACTTTTGTTGACAGGACGTTGAGTCAACATGCGGCTGGGCATCATTTGGATCCTTGCGATTCGCGCTTTGGCTTGTGGCTGCCACAATCCGTGTCCCGGTCAGCCAACTCTCTGGAAGCTGGCCTGGCAACGCGTTGCTAGCATATTGCTTTATTGTCTTCGACGTAAACAAATTAAATAATGGAACATTCTGCCTTTCAGGTGCATAATTCCCCTAATTAACGCACAAGCTGCATATTAAAAGCATACTTTAACAAGTTATTGAAATTATAGGAATTACATTATATATTTTTTAATTAGTTCCCTAACATAATCCCATCATATAGAGCAATTGACAAATAGGCTTTTGAGTAGTGGGGGAAGTACCAAAAGCTCTGCAAACTCGATAAACTTTTACATATTTTACAGAAATGATTAAACGACAACGACCACACATAGATGGCACTTTATGCTAGCGCCCTTGTTGCCAAATGCCTGTGATGTAAACTGTAATACTATCACATCTGGCTGTCGATACATCCTTTCAAGTGTATAACAATTTAATATTGGGTCGATTAACCAACATAGATGCCGACACTTGCTTCTGTTAGCGCCACCTCTTATTCATTTTACATTAAACGGGCCACAGGTGGCGCTGCACTGGTTCGTTGCTTAAAGTAGCAATAGACTAAATGTCTGCCGCTTAATTTATACGCTAGGTGGCGCCACTAGCTTGGTCTACGCTGCTTGCTTTGAACCGTGCTGCGCATTGCCAGATGAAAAGGTAGATAAAATGGAACTAAATGTGTTTTGCTAATTATGGTTAGTGAATAATCTTAAACATAATTAAGGTTGCAGAGGGCGCTACAAGTTTCAGAGTAACTCGATTTGTCTTTGACACCAACCTTTGAGCGGAGCGGCATCCTGCGAATCCCGGCATCCTTGAATCCCAAAATAATAAAGTTACGATTTTTGTAAATTACAAGAACTGAGAGCCACAATAACATTTATAAAGTATTCAAGCAGTAGGCGTACATATTTGCAGGAGCATTAATGTAACTGAATATGCGCATACGCACAAACATAGGAGCACAAGCAAGAGGAAGCGAACAACAAAAACAGGTAGATTTAATGCACTCGCTCATTGCACTCACCCAAATAACTGTTACCATTTTGCGTCTCCTCTTTGCGTTTCATTCCGTCTGTTGATGTCGATCGACTGCTGCAATGCCAAAAATGCACTTTTAATATTAGCTTCACACAGTACACACGCGTTATTATTAAATATACGCTGCCCTTTGGCACAGCCCTTTGCTACACACTTGCACTTGAACATATCATTTATTATTAAACGCAAAAAATAATAGAAAATAAAATTAATTAGATCCCACACCCGTATTGTCATCTTGACGCTTACTCAACAACTGAGCTTGGCAGCAGCGACAAAAAGGGAAATTTGTCTTAGGGGTAACGGTACTTCGCTGTTGATCTCCGCAGTGCCCGCTATTGTTGTTAAAGTGTACTACAAATACCCTAGGTTTAATTTCCGAAAAGAAATTTCTTGGCAATATCCTAGAGAGGGTATTTTCACTTGCTTAGCATGGACACTTAAGATTTGCCCCTGGGATATCTTTGCAGCCTTGGTAGTTGTCTTTCTACCGAAGAGTCTGTTAGAAATAACCCTAACTCTATTGGTGGAAATCTCGTGGGAATCTGCTGGCAGCCACCTATCGGCTATTTAAGGGGTAAATTCACCAATTGCTTAGCAGAGACACTTAAATGGCGCAAAATTTAAATGTAACATAATTATTTATAGTAAACGAGCACAAGCGCATAATTATTTGTTACTGTCTGCAGGCGTGCAAGCAGCTTGTTTCCTATAGATGACTAAATATTTGTACTTTTTCAGATGCATCAACTTAAAATACTACAAAGAGCAGTCAATAAAAACAAGCCCGCCGCTAATTGGACAGAGAAAGCTCCATTGCAGCCAAGATTATTTAAACTAATTAAGTATTGCGCCTCGTCCGGAGTCTGGCAGGCGGCCTGGTTACATGACACATCGCCAAAGCCCTGCGCCTGCACCGAGAAGAAGAGCGGGGGACAGGGCTCATAGTCATAGTCCACACAGGCATCCGTCAAATCGTAACTATACGAGCCCAACGCCGTGGACTCACATCTCTCGTCCTGGCGCAGCGGGTGGCTCACGTTGCGAAAGGGCAACTCGATGCTGCGCGAGAAGCAGACCGTGAAAGTGATCTGACTGATGGCTGCAATCTTCAGATAGCGCATGCTCTGTCTGGCTGGCATATAGAGCGCGTCCAGGCGATAGAAATTGATGCTGCCCAGCCGAGCGTACTGCTCCAGCGAGTTCAGGCCATACTCGCTGATAGCCCCATTGGAAGAGCAACGCGGATTCCAGATGCGACGCGGAACTGAATCAGACAATTAACTCAAAAGTCTTAATATATCTTAAGAATACTCACCCTGACGTATGCGCCCTATGACTGGATCTCCACACGCCTCCGGCGGCTTCTCAATGTTCAACAAAAGCAAATCTCTGCTTGGCTCTCGCACAAAGTCGTGAAACCGAACCAAGGCGCCGCCGCCATAGTAAATGAAGTTCAGGTGGGGCAGACTGTAACGCAGGCGCTCCATATAGCGCACACAGTAATCGTAGTCGTTCTCATCCACATAGGACGTGGGACTGGGCACCAGCAGAGCCACCAGCGAGCGGCCGCCCAGATTGTCAGTGGCTTGATCCACCGCCAGCAGCTGCTCCACTCGCGTGCTGAGCGTGTTTAGTATTGCGGGTAGATTAAAACCGGCTGGATCTACGCACATGCAATTAGGTTAAGATGTCGAACCAACTATGAATTGTTATGCTTACGCCAATAATGCGATGTAAAGTTCCATTCCTGGTATACATTTACTATATAGTCGGTTGTATTCACTATGACTGAAGCATCCGAGGCAGCAAAAAGCGTTACAGTGCTCGCATACGGATGAATGTTTAAGTTCTGTAAGACATAGCTGCAGAGAAATCGAAGGATAGACTTAAGCAAGTATTTTGCATTCAGTTTTCATGTTAGTTTTCCCCGTGAAGTGAATTTTCCGAGGTTCATTTTAAATTGAAGCCCTTTTAGACCAAAATGTATGCCAACTTTGACTCCCTATTCAATGGAGCGAGAAGTGTGAAAAACTTCTTCGAGTTTACAGACAGATCTTTGCCATGAATGAAACACAAATACGTTTTCCACAGCCTTTTTCCACCACCTTTCCACCTAGGCGGCTGAAGTGCTTAAAAATCCTGTGGGGAGCAAAAGTCAGCTCTATTCTAAACAAAACTTTGAAAAAACTTTGGGCTTAGCGAGAAGTGTGAAAAAGTCCGTGAGTTTACAGAAAAAACTTTGACATGAATGAAATACCAAAATGTGCGTCTAGCACATGAATTGATCATCAGTCAGTCAGTTAGTCAGTCAGTCGGTGGGTCAATCAGATGGATGAATTATAGATTCACGTGCACTTACGCCACATAGTCGACTATCCAATCGTATGGCCAATTGGTGTCCACAAACACAAAGACGTTTGTCTTTATGGTGGTCATATTGGATATATCCGCTGACTGATCGCGCTGAAAGTAGTCCATGATGGCTGCAAAGGAGAGTAAATGAAAGGAATGTATATGAAAATGGAAATAAGATCGGATAATTAGCCTACGAGGAACCACTTGGGCAGAGTCTAAGCACAAATAAAAACAGGCTGGTTAGTTCTAGTGGGGACTTTATTTGCGACTTTTTCACTGGAACTTACAACTTAAATAAAAAAATTATAATAATAATTTAAGACGACAAATATTTGGAAGGAAGCTAGGGTGGGGCATACATACAGGATGTGATTAATTTGAACTCTTTTTACTGGACTGCGACTGCCGCACAACTGCACTACTGCAACGACTGCTGCAGCAGCAGCGCCAGCAAAATGGTGAACAGACTGGCCGCCAGGCCAGAGACGCCGCTGTAGCAGCCCATGTTGACGGACGAAACGATGTAGCGCCATTGATCGGGCGTCTGGCAGGCATCCTGTGTGCAGGATGTGGTGTTGATGCTACCCGGCTGGACGGACAGATAGAGCGGCGGGCACTGTGTGATGGTGTAGTAGCCATTGCAGGCATTGGACAGATCGTAGGAGTAGCTATTGCCACTGATCTGCACACAGCTCTGGTCCACAGTGGTGCCCGTGCTAGAGCTGGTGGAGTTCTGCTGCGGCCACTCGTAGCTGCGCGAGGAGCAGATGGTAAAGCTGCCGCCGTTCTGCGACTGAATGGTCACCACGCGATTGCTGCCGGCGCCAAAGAAGTAGTTGGAGGCAACGCGATAGAAGTTGATCGTGCCCGGCCGCACATACTGGTACATCTGGTCGGTGCCCCAGCTGGTCGTATACCAGGCCGAGCCGCAGCGCGGATTGATGATGCGTCGGGGTACTGCAAGAAGCGGATTGTCGCATGCTGAGTATCAAAGCGAGCGTGAGGCTTGAGGGATGCACTTACTCTTCACAATGCGCCTGGCTACAGGTCCCGCCGATGTGGCTACGGTGCTGCCCGTCATCAGCGAGAACAGATCCCGCGAGGAGTCGCGCACAAAGCTCGCGAAGCGCTGAATGTTGCCGCCGCCATAGTAGACGAAGCGCAGATCGGGAATCTGCTCGTAGATATACTGCAGCTCCGTTGTGGCATAGTTGGAATCGCCATCATTCACCGTCGCCTGATTGGGCATAATCAAGGCCACCAGAGAGCGACCGCCGACGCTGGAATTGGTCTGCTCGCCGTTCAAAAGATTTTGGGTTATATTCTGAATCGTGCGCAGAACAGCGGGCAGATTGAAGCCTTGGGGCACTGTGCGAAAAAGGTAAGGATTACCATTGAGTCAATGCTAAATTTTATCCTCACGATAAATTGTACAACGAACTCACCATTCGCCTGTGTGGTCACGTTCCACTGCTGATAGACGTCGGTGACGTAATTCGTGGTATTCACAATAATCGAGCCATCCAAAGCGGAGAGCATCGTCACGGAACTGGCATACGGATGAATATTCAGCTGCTGCAGTACATAGCTGTAGAGGGAGAAGAAGCATGAGCGGGGGCTTAGCTGGTAGACACGACTCCAACTTACGCAACATAGTCCACAATGGAGCTGTACTGCCAGGAAGTGTCCAAAAATATGTACAAATTGGTCATGGGTGTGATAATGTCCGACAGATCCTGATTGTTGCTGGCCGTGCAGGAGACATCGTTCAAGGATTGCGCTGTAAAATTAGTAAGCAACAAGAGAAAAGAGAGTGCAGGTTGTGCGTGTGAGAGCGCGAGAGCTTAGAGATGGGCGCGTGTCGGGCTTTGCTTAACACGACACGACACGAACACGAGCCTTACTTTATATATAGTACAGGCTACTCTGGGCTACGACAGCCTAGGGTTTGAACCAGCAACATTACTTTTGGGCTACACTTTTTCAAATTTATAAATAGTTGTTCTCATTTATCGTGCGTGTTCGTGTCACGAAAGAAAACACGAGAGAGCTTGATATACATATGTAGGTATTAAAGAGAGCCTAGCTTATGCCCAAGTGGTTTCATGATATAAATAAAAGTGTGCTACTTACGCACATAGGTGACCAGCGAGAGGGAAGCAGTGTTGGCAAATTCCGCAATTGCCGCTGGCTGGAGCGTGACACGCAGTTGCATGCCCCTATCAAGGACCTGGGCGAATGCGCTGGTCTGTGCCTGCATCTCCGCCGAAGGCGCCACATTGGTGAACTGCTGCTGACGACTGCAGGCCTGAATGCCGGAGCCCAGCACACCCGTCGCGGAGTAGTACATGCGCAGCAGCTGGGAAAGCTTCAGGCCGGAGGCCTGGGTGCGCCAGTTGGCCACGTTCTTGGCTATGATCAGACCGTCCAGACCGCCGCGAATCTCCGCATCGGTTGCCTCCAGATTGTTGCGCTGCGACAGGAAATACCAATGGGGCAGCACCGTGTCATTCCAGCCGCCGGTGGCGCCGACTGTGGCCGCATTGTTAGTGGAAACCGGCACCTGGACGAGCGTCACCTCGGCCAGGTCACCCGCCAGCGTGGCTGCCCAGCGATTGTCTATAGAGGACGCCGCCGTCTGGGACTGGGTGCGACCACGGCGCTGGGTAGCCAGTTGCAGCAGCGTGTTCACCGGCACAGTCTGCTGTTGCAGACCCGACGCGACGCCCGCAATCAAGGTGCCCGCCGAGACAGTGCCCCAGGGCGTGCGCACAACGCCATCTTCCACGGGACACTGGCTGGTGCCCTCGCTGCCGCCATACGCCCAGTCGGTGTCGTAGTCCAGCTCGCCCAGCTGCACATAGTTCGAGCCAGAACGTGCCCGCTTCGGTCTGCTGTCCAGCCACTCGGCATCCCCAATAAAGTTGCTGGCTTCGTCCTTCTTAAGCGCACGGGGCAAGCGCTGGGCGCGATATTGAGAGAGCTGGCCACACACCGTGTTCTCGTCGCCACGCTGCCTGGTGTCAAAGGTGCTGGAAAGCATGAAGTGCAGGGAACAGCGCTCCGTGCTGGTCAGCGAGCTGTTCGGGAAATTGTTCGCATTGCCGGGCAACAGGCTGGAGAGCAGAATGCGCAGCTTGGGAAACTGAAAGCCCGTGGGACTGTAGGGTATTACGCCATTCACGGCATTAACGCCCGGCGCACGCTTAATGCCATCCTGCCGGAAACGATGCAGCAAAGCAACCGAAACAGTTCTGATGTCCACCTGGTAGCCGGTTGCCACATAGCTCTGCTCGACCTTCTCAATCAGCGAGATCAGTGTGTCCATGTTGGAAGGCAGGCGATTGTCCCGATTCATGAAATACGACGTATTATAGCACTCGATCAGCGAGGGCGGTATCTGCAGTTGGGCATTCTCCTGTGCCTGCACTGGGCCAATCGCCAGGATCAGGCCCAGGCCCAGGCAAAGGCAGACAGCGGCTGCCTTCAATTGTGCAAGCTGCATGCCGTGGCTCCTTGTAAGTTCGTTTATTCTTCGGTTCGTTGAATGGAAGCTGAAAGTAGCGCACATACGTCCGACAATTAGAGCACGTTTAGGCAGGTAAGTGTTGCCCACCTTCCGCCCAAATTAGTGTCCAACTTGGTTACAAAACAACTTATCGAACTGGCGGCCCTGGCCCAAAATTAAAAAGAAAAAAATGCCCCAACCGCTGTTGAGTCAGCGTCCGCATGGCCTACGCTCGTCTGGGCTCTAACCGTCCAATGATAAGACCTCGCCCATTGTATCCACTGCGTACAGGCTGCCCTTATCGGGGCCCGCGAACAATTACTCGTGTTTGATTTACGCTCATGTGTAAACTCTCTTATCCTTATCGCAATGCAAACATTTAGACAGTCAACAGGTTGGGCTTTCAGATGTCTAGCTAAGTGGAGATAGGCGCAAGAGTATTGATCAAATCTGCCCAATTTCCAACTAAGTAAATTCATTAACTTCATTTTTGATATGCCGCACTTTGTTGGGACAGGTGGAAACAGCTGAGAGTAGAAGCGATAGCAGATAGAATTTGTGAAAGGCAGGCGAGAAAACGCATGAAACCCAAAATAATAGACTAAGATAACTGTTGAAAGGTTAAATCAAGAAAGAGATATTTCACAACTGTAATTAGTTTAAATGTTCACCTCTTTGCTTGGAAACTGTACCCAAGGGTTAGACCTATGCTCGAACCGACACTTTTCTTTCTTAAGCAGGTCTTGGAGATAGGTAGGTAAGACACTTCCGTCTCTCTTCCATCTCTCACTGATGTGTCACTTCCTGCCCGATGCGAGCTTTACGACTCTTTGTCAACTCTCTGGCTTATTGAGAACCAACTTTCATATAACACTAACACCCCCCTCTTATGTACACGGAAGCTGATGTCATGTCGGCACTGCACACTCATGAACTTATCAATTGGAAAATAAAATTAATATAATAAAGACCAAGCAAATGTCGCTGTAAGCGCATGAGTCAAAACACCTTGATATGCCGTATATAAAAATGTATATATATATCGGCTATCAATTTTTATCAGTTTGACAAAAGAATTCGTTCCTAATGCGGCCAGATTGGCACATGGACGCAAGTCGCAACGAATACCGTTAGTTAGTTAACTATATGGCAACACTATCGCCAATACCGAATACCGTTACAAGCGCGTGAGTCAGCTGTAGGACAAGAACTTCGGGCCCTGTAATGCCGCCGCCTATTGCCCAAGTCCAGATAATGGTTGGCATTTATAAACACATATAGTTAGCTATGTATTTCTCTCACTACACTCAACTGCGATTTTACTGTGATAAGATAACATTTTTTGATTGTTTAAGCACCGTTGGTTTAAACTATTTTTAAAACTGGGGCGTTAACTGTTCGCTGTAGACTTTTTTGTAGACTTTCTTTGAAGCTCACTTAAAATATATATTCTTTTTCAAAGTATTTTCATCATTTTGCACAATCTTTTAGACACTAAGTGGTCATAGTTTCTCTCTAATTAATTGCCTTTATATATGTATTATATTATTTTCACAACCGAAGATGTGCGTTTTCCGCTTTACCTTGTTCCACCTGCTAAACTATTCGTACTGATTGCTCGGCTTTTGGGCGCACAGGTGCCTCACCTGTTTGCCGAGCAGCAACATAGCAAACTGCTTATCAGTTCTCCCCCAATACCAATATCGCTGATAAGATATGAGACTTTTGGATTTGGGTGAATAATACACGACGCAGCGAACGTTGTGCAAATCGAAATCAACTTTTGGATATCTGCCGAACTCTACAATTTTACTACACACCATAAACATGGAGAGTTGTTATTGGTATTTTGTGGCAAGCCGAGCATTTAGCTAATACGGGTTTTCCTTCTTATCAAATTGTAAAAAGTTGTCATTTAATTAAAGGCGAGCGACAAGATGACAAAGGTTTTCGATTCGATAACCTAGAAACTGTTGAAAATACCTATCGAAACACCAGCCGACAGCGGCCCTCTCTTGCGAGTAATTTCGAAATGTCCCGCGCACAATTACCAGGGCTGTCTGCAACTGCTGCACATTTGATGGAAATATATCGATATTGTGTGTTATCGAAACACGGCCAAATCAGATACCATTTGACAGTACAAGAAAAAATAATCAATATAGCAGAATGTAATAAAATGCATTTTATTACTTAAAAAGTTTAATAAAGTGTATTTCAATTGCAGGGGCAAGCACAGGACAGCACAACAGGATGCCATTTTCGTGGCATTTATGGAAAGACATCCCATAATTGCGAAAAACTACTACAAAGGCGATAAATTGGCCAGCGAGGCCGCCTGGCAGAGATTAAGCAAGGAGCTAAACAGTGTGGGACCGCCAGTTAAAGAAGCCGGCGAATGGAAGCGAGTAGGTTAAATGACAGTTCAATCTGCCCAGCAATCATATGATAACAATTGTAGGTATGGAAAGATTGGAAGAGCTGCATACGCAAGAAGATTGCCAACAATCGGCTGGAGCCGAACGGCACGGGGAAGAGTTCCTTATACCAGGACACGCTCACGCCCCTGGAAGATGCCGTGGCGACAATCACCGACCTCTATGAGATGGCAGACATCATAGTCGAATCGCAGCCAAAGTCTAAAGCTCGTCAAGAAACGAACGCAAACATGCGCCTGCAGGACATCAAAACAGACCAGGACGACGAGGAGGTGTCCGATAATGGTATGTCCCTGTGCTTGCCCAAACAATCAAATAGTTCAACTTGTACGCCTTAGAAGATGAGTTGGAGCAGGAGGATGACGACGACGATGCATCTGGCGGCGACTCGATCAGCGTGCGCGACGTCGGAGTCAAAGTGGAGCAGCAAATGCATCAACAGTCCACAGCCAAAAAACGAAAACTGGAACACGATAATCTCAACGGATCCGGCTCCGTGAATGGCAGCACGGTGCTCCTGGACATTGCCAAAGAGCTGCGCGAACTGAACAGGCAGACGAGATTGAATGCCCAGCGCACAGAAGCCAATACCGAGGCCTTGCTGGCAATGGGCACTCAAATATCTGACCTAATGCAACAGCAGCTGAAGGAACGCAAGCGTCTCAATGCCATAATGGAGAAGTTTGTGCTCAAGATGGAGACTACCGACTAAAATAGTTAGCAATATGTTTAAACTAAAGAAGCTAGATATTAGGTCATTTATTTTACTTAACTTGGAGTAAACTAGGATTGTGTCTTAAATTGATTCAAAGCTTGCTTTGATAATTGTAAATGAAATGTATGCGCTTAAAACCAAATATAAATGTATGAAGCCAAAAACAAGTTTTCTTATTAGTACGCCGCCAACTGGCAGGCTTCATATGAATAATCCAATACTGAGTACTGATAAGAATTGTTTCGCGTAACCTTATTAGAAGCAGGGGCACGAAATGCTATCGATTAATTTCCCTTGCTGTTCGATAGTCAACTGTTGCCAAATTGCTGCCAAGTTTCATCACTAGCTGGCAAAACTTCCATCGCTAGTTGCAAAACAGCGCCAAATGTGGCGCAGCAAGTTTTTAATTTAAATTAAAATCAAATTTTACGCTTATTTTATAAACTATTGTACCTCAACGAGCAGCATGAGCGCCGCATTGGACGTACGTGTGTGTAAGCTGGGTGAGCGAAACCAAATAGAGGAGCTGCGAGAGCTGATACGGAAAACTAGCATCAAGGATGTAAGTTGGCGTCTTTAATTTTGAACTCTGATCTAATTGCTGTTAATACACAGCTGACGGCAACTATCGGAGCCAAGCTGACCCGCAAGGATTTTATTAATTTCTGGAACTACCTGTTGCTTGCCTGCGATGGCAACAGCCTGGAGACGCAGGAGAAGCGCTTCGCCTGTGTGCGTTGCTTTCTGGACGGACTGCGCAAAGTGGAGATGGGCCACAAGCTCACCATCGATTTGATAACGCGCATCTGCCAGGATTTGGGCAGCTACACGGCCGACCAGCTGAATTGGATAGTTGAGCACTGCATGGATGACATGCGGGCGGGCGATGCCAAGTGCGTGGCCTGGAAGGATTTGCTGCCGGAGACGTTGCTCGTGCTGGCGGTCAAGCCGCGTCTCATCATCAACGGCATCGCCATGACAGGCCCCGAGCTCAGGGACACAACTGTGCGTAACCTGAGTGCTATGCGCTGGCCCATTGCAATTCTGACGCCCATCGCGGACATGTTCAGGTGGGTTGGTCGCCTGCGTCTGGAGTTAACTTTCTGTACTTAATCTCTTGTTTTTCAGCATGCTGAAGTTGAGCAATGGCGAGCGTTTCACAGTGTTGAATAAGTTTGCCGGCGCTCTGCAGGATTTGTCGCCCATGGAGCTGCCGGCTCTGTGTTTCCAGCTCTTCTCCATGTGCACAAGCGCTGCACAGCTGATCATCCCGCTGCTGGCGCTGGAAAAGTACTTTCATAGAAACTACTACAAGCGCCTATTCTCGGACATGTGCAGCAACTCCACAGATCTTGATAGCATAGGTGCGCATATTGAACCTCTTCTCGTCTGCCGTCATGTTAAGTCTTTGCTGCCTTTTAGATGCCTACTCTGATAAGGAACTGCGCGAGGCGGAGGAGACAGTGCTGCATCATTTGAACTATTGTACCATGTACCTGCTCAGCGAGCAGCATGTGGCTATTATGCTTAGGGTAAGCTTGAAGTCTTTGTATGTACTTTTAAGCTCAATCATTACGCTGCTTGCAGAACTTTCTCCACATGCCGGATGTCATATTGACGCCCTTTATGCTCAGCGCCATCATCTCAATGACAGCCGTTAATCGCGATCCGGAATCTGCGCGCCTCTCCAGCAGCATTCTGTTGCCTTTTCTGCGTAGCGTCATCAAGAACAACGAGGAGGAACAAACGCTGGCTGAATACTCAGTCTGGTGTCGTGACACGCTGCAGCGCAAACATGTAGATTTGGTTCAGGTCTTCACTGTACTCATCGATCAGAATAAGGATGGCAAGGATGTGGTCACTCCCGGACTGGTTAATTTGGCCTTTACGCTGCTGAAAGCACATAATGCACCTAAGCTGAATACGCTGGCCATTACATTTCTAACCAAGTTCGTGCGCCGCCGCTTCATGTTTGGCCAGGGCATTATCAAGCGCATTGCCGAGTGGATGGTCGTGGATCAGGAGCAGAATCAGTTCTCAGGTGTGTAGCTGGTCACAAATATAACATAGTCTAAAATTAACTTTTGATCCGCGACAGAATGCCTAACCATGCTAAGCGTAGCGGATACGTACACGGTCTCGGAGTGCCTGGAGACTATTACGACTGTCATGGAGGATTTTCTTTGGGCAAGTTGGGCAACTCATGTGTTCTTTGACCACTTCCTAAGCTTTTATTTTGACTTCAGCTGCCGGGCGAGCAATCCATGCGCATGATGAACTTTATATTGCCGCTGCTTAAGCTTTCCAATCGCGTGCGCGATGCCCTCATTGATGTGCTGCGCAAAGCCATGACCAAGTGGGTGTTTCCGTATCCTTGTAAACTCTTTGAATTCATTTCATTTGCCTCCATAGAGACTATCGCACACGGCGCATGGCCATCTTTGGTTATTGCATGATCCTCAAGCAGCTGAACAACAGCAACTCGGCGCGTCAATCGCAGAATGCGAACAGCTTCTGCACGCAGCACAGCATTTCTGGCTACTCGATGATGACGCAGAGCTCCTTTGCCACACGCAGCAATCCGCAGCGCAATTTTGATATGCTCACCCTGGAAATTATTGGAATATTGCGCAGCTGTTTTGAACAGCAACTGGGCATACGACGTACGCTGTACGAGAGTGAGTGGAAAATGTTGTTAGTTTAGGACATTCAATTAAGCCCGATTCTGCTCTTTCACAGATCTTCAACGTGCAGTTGAACTGAACGCCAAGCTGGTGCCTCACGTGCTGCAGTTCGTTGACTTTCACTTTCGTGGCTTTTTCGATACGCCGGCAGCTGTGGATCAGGCGGCTGATGATTTGGACACAAATTTTACTATAAATTACGAACGTCTTGCTAGTGTTAAGGACGATCAGCTGGAGCTAAAGGATAATCTGGGCTGCTTGGTGCAGTTTGTTTCCCATTGTTTGGCCATTTTTGAACGTGCGCCTTATGGCTGCGATGTGCGTGAGCTGCAGCGACTGCTGACAGTCTGCACACAGCGTTTGGTGACCAAGCGGCTGCCACTGGAAGACACCGTGAGTAGCTAAAATCCCAGCTTAAGAATTATATTGACTTACCCTGTTCACGAAATCAATTTAAGTCCCCGCCAGCTACACCTTTGAAGTGCGCACGCATTCAGCAGCAGCTAAATCTCATCGAGGGGCTCATCTCGCATTCGCTGCTCAGCTCGAAGCCCGGCAATGATGCCTTGCGACAGGTGCTGCCGCTGTTTAAACAGCATCAGAAACTGCTTAAGGATCTTGGTGCCTTGGCAGACACCTCAAAAAAAGCACAGAAAAATACAAAGCAGCCAACAACCAACGACAGCAACGCGACTGTTAATATCAGTGTGAACACGGTCAAAATAAAGAGAATGTGCACGCAGCCGGAGAATATTTGGGATCTGGCTATAATCAAAAGGCTGCTCCACACGCTACATGAGTGGGTGTCACGAATATATATGTATGTTGAGCTGATCCACACAAATACTTTGTATTCTCTTTTTCAATTTAGCGACCATGTGCCCTTTGCCAGTGCGGCAAACACCGCACCTTTGCGCAGTCATGAGCCGCTGGTGCGTTATGTGCTGGAGATTGCGGCCCAGAAAGTTCAGGCCATACGCGAGGAGCCGGACTATAAGCAGCTCTCCTATAGCAAGCGGACCCTGAAGCTGCTGACTGACATTACGAAGGTAATTTACGAGCGCTGCATACAACGTCTGCCCGAACTGTGGCAGGATTTCGATTTGGAGAGTGCCGTGCTGGCGGCCAAGTGTTTTATGCAGTGTACTCGCACGGCGCACGAGACATATGGCAGGCGATTCAAGGAGTTTGTAAAGGGTTTCGGTAAGCAGAAGATGCTTATGATACTTTTCGTGATATAAAATAGACTTTTTCCTACTCTGCGCAGACATGGCCGTCATTAACAAAAGCAAGGCAGTTACCTATGTCCTGCAGGAAGTGCTGGTGCAGTATATGAAAGAGGACGCCTGCAATAATGCCAACACGCAGCTACTCAGTACGGACAAAAACGGCGCTAAGCTGCCCGTTTATTTGCTGGAGGCGCTGGAACTATTCTATGATCACATTGACTATGGAGAGCGTGCTGCAATTGATTCATACACTTGGCTGCTCGACTTTTGTCAGACACACGAGCTGCACAATCCAGAAATGGGTTTGTTGCATCGCATGCTATTCACACAGCGCCAGAAGACGCACTCCGGTCCGTTCTTTGATGCCGTGGCCAGGCAGCTAGGCAAAGTGCTCGGCTGGCAGAATGATGACAACGTCTCGGAGCAGTCGGATTTGGGCCTAAAGTCGCTTGATATGAGCACAATTGCCACCTGCCTGCAGTATTTGTATGCAGCGGTGCAGAAACAGCTAGAAGATGTGGAATACTTCGTTATCAAGGCAAACAATTTAAACTATAAATGCAACATTGTGCCCGAGTCCGATCGCGTCTATTGGCGTGGCAATTTGGACACATTGGAGGGTTCCATTTGCGCTCAGTTAATACTTATAACACGCACACTGCTGGAAATTACAAATGTGTGTGTACCGCTGGGCAATCACATGGATGGGCTAATGAAGCTGCTAATACAACATTATACGTGCCTCAAGAATCTGGCCAGACACTATTTGGCCAGCAGTTCCGTCAAGAGCAGCAAGTGAGTTGTGGCTATGCGGCTGATCTTTCCATTTACTAACTTCTATAAACTCCCTCCCAGATTCGAGCAGCTGCTGCGCAATGTGGGCAAGCCGCTGCCCGCGAACATCTATCAGCTAATCTCCTATGTGGAGTACAATATTCTGGACGAGCAGGCACAGCAGCCGGCCGTAAAGCGCAAACCGCAGGCAGAACGCGCCAAGGTGCTGCGTGAGACGCGTCTCATACCTAAAGTAATATTGGCCATCGAGAATTTCAACAAGCATATTATATTGCTATCCAAGAAGTTCAAAACTTACGATCGGCTGTCGGACTATCTGCACTTTGGCGCTGTGCGCGATTTTAATATACAATCAGGTGACCTGAGGGCTGTCATTGAGCGCACTTATTCGCACAGCAGCCAGATTGAGGTGTCCGATAGCAATTTGGAAGTGCCGGATGAAGATGAGGAGGAGCACGAGCACGAGCAGGAGCCTGAGCAGCAACAGGAGACCGAGGAAGATGATAATGATGATGATGAACAGGAGCCGGAGCCAGAGCAGGAGCCGCCTAAAAAGAAACGGAAAACCGCTCAGAAAAACCAACGAAGACGACGCATTCCCACCAGCGATGCGGCAGCAGAGGAGTCACAGCCGAAACGTAGGCGTGGACGCTCCAGCAAGAAATAAGAGCGACCATTGAAGGATGCCTTTTCTTTGGGGATGTGGGCAGCACGTGTGCCTCCTTCTGTACCACATCATCAGCGACGACGCGCAAATATCCATTTAAGTTTTTAACTTGTGTTTTTATGTACTTTCGCGCAAATTTGATGCCCGCACGCAATAGAGGAACAGCACATCTACGGGTCGAGCCATCATTTTATTGCACTTGAAAACTTAATTAGGCCAAAATGCGGTGTGAACGCCTATTTTTTTACATTTTGTATATATACATGTATATGTATCAACGTGTTTCTCTGCAGCTGTGCGAGATTTTTATTACATGCATCAAATGTAATTTGTTACCAAAATTTGATGTGTTTCTATCTTCTTCAAAACGGCATAAATAAAAGAAAACTTGCACTGCCAGCGGATGGGGGTTTTGGGGGTTGCAACTGCTGTTCGTTATGGCCTGCCAACTGTTTTCCTTTTTTTTCCGACTGCCCCCCTCCCTTTTTGGCCATCATTTAAATGCGTGGCAGGTTTTATGGTCAGGTAACTTTTGAGCTTGGCCTCGTATCAAACTCAAATCTAACATAGTAACTTAACGGATGTATTAAAGGGCGTGTATTTGAACTACTTGTTGGATTAAGTTGAGGAAATTTGCTGTTGGAATGTTTCGGCGTGCCCCCTACCCTCTTGTGCTGTGGCCGCAGCTCGAGTATGCATTGGGTGTCAAGGGTCAGTGCGCTTCAAGAGGCGCGAGGGGGTTGGCATTGTGACTATTTGTGGTTGCAGCAATTGTTTCTTCATTTTATATATGCACATGGTTAGCTTCCTGCAGGCCCTCTACTCATCCATTTGAGCAGAAATATGCTGCCTTTTGTCATCGAAAATAGTTGTGGAAATCAACTGACTTGCTTTGTTCCTTCGTTCGATTTGGGCATGAATGGATGAAACTCTTAACTTTATATGAATCAATTTGATATTTGAAAGTGGGCTAGTTTTCGAGTGCATTTCCACTCACTGGTTTGGGATAATAAAGAATTTAGCCATAGTTTATTTAGTTTCCATTTTGAATCATTTAACATTGGTTTGAATATTTGAATAGATAGAACAGGAGGGGAAATAAACTCACTTTTTTATGTGCGTCAAGCAACAATTTTTTAGGCTCTTTCTAGTAAAATATTTTCTATACTATATATCTATATACTATACTATACTTGGGTATAGTTTGTTTTGGGATGTCTATAATTTCCCATATTTTCTCAACAACTTTTTTTTGTCTCAAAATGACGTCATTTGCCCCCTCTGCCGCTCGTGTTGCTGTGTTTGCTTCGTTAGCAAAAGTTCAAATTTACATTGGAAAAACATAAATATTTTGTTTTTCCTTGGCGCTGTGTAATATTCGTATTGTTCTCTCTCTAGTTTGGTGACATTTTCGTGAATTGTTAACAAGTTTAGCGCCAGGCCGAGTGTTTGGTTTGCACCTCTCCACACTGTTCCGCCCCCTCCCCCCTGTCTAAGCTGGATGGGGGTGTCTAAATTTATTATTCAAATTTCCTCAGTTGATTTGCTTGCATTTATTATTAAACATTACAGGCGCGATTTGAGCATTGTTTTTAATTCACTTAAAACTACATAAATTTAACTTTACATGCAAGCCGCACTCACGTGCCCCAGGGCCAAGAGCCCGGGCCAGTGCGTTAAATTTCCAATAGATACAAAGATACAAATGTATCTATGCGTGCTTTCGGCTTTGTCGCGCCGAAACGCGCTGTTCCAAGCGCTTAGTTCACGACGCTGCGTTTTAATTCAATCAAAAGACCAGCTCGCGACTTGACGAATCTTTAGTCGATCGCTCGAGCGCAACGGCAACGGTTCACTTTCGGTTTCACTGGATCGCAGATCGGCTGGCCTTAGCTACAATCTATATATCTCGGTCCTTAAGCTTAATTCGCGCGAGTAGCTGGGTTGAATGCATCTCAAGATGTTTGCTGATCGCAGCTCCAAATTGTTGCTGCTACTGCTGCATATGTTTGCACTGTGCCACTGGAGCGACGCCAGGTTGCGTGAGTATATTGCATATTGGGAAAATACGTTAGCGAAAATCACACCAGCTGAAGGTCGAACGTCAGTGAGTCAGTCAGTCAGTCATCAATCAATCAGTCAGCTGTGATTAGGATACACAGTTTGAATACTTAGATTGGAATATTGACGTAGCGAGAATATTTATGGTCCGATCTTTAAATCTGTTAGTCAGCCTAGGCTCCAAATACTTTTACTTCTCAATACAATTCTGGGCTAACAATTTTAGGAGGTATTGATATTCAGGACTTTCTGAGCTATGCTTGTGCTACCCAAGTATCTTCACACTTTGTACACGTTTGTATATTCTTCAAGTTTAAAGCATCTTTCTTTTGAAGCATCGAACAAATTGAGTACATACACTCCGAGGAAACATCAGGAATTTCGTATATTTTTTAAGTACAAAAAAATGTCAAGAACTGTTAAGAGTTTAAAGACGTAGCTTATAATATATAAGGTTGTGGCTCCCATATCACTTTTTCTTTATTATTACGGAAGCTATTTCTGACTAAGCCAGACGGCCTTCGTCTTATAGCCATATTATTAGACCTAGTCTTCCAGCCAAAGGGCCAATGATCTGAGCCAAATCAAAGCAACTATTTCGACAATAATGGAAATAACAACAACACGTCGATTGCAACTGTTGCGCATATTAATTATGCTCGTCGGAAAGCGAAGGTCTACACCAACAACAACTAATCCAAGCCACACATTTAAATTATATATAGATATATGGTACTGACCGCTACATAGAATTGCAAATGCAGCAAATGTTGCTTCTGAAGGTGGCACGTTCCATGATCAAGGTCGCCTACCAATTGGACACATTTTGTACTTATTCTAAAAACAAGAAAGAACTCCCATATAATATGGCGATTGGTCAAGATATTTTGAGAAATAATATATCAGAAAGGCTGACTTATGCTTTAAAGCTAAGAGACTAAGAGACTTGGATTTTGATTCTATTCAAGAATATATATGGGGTTAGATCTGTCTCCTTTCACTATAATATCCTCCACAAGGCTTTAATGACCTGCCCATTTTAGCCTCTAGCATAACGCCCTGTGCTCGAGATGATCCTCAGCTGGAGCGCTGCATCATAAATGCCGTCTATAATTTGCGGCCCCTTCTGGTGCATGGCAATCTGGGTGATGGCTATTACACGCCTCCTCTGGAGCCGCTGCAGCTGGACAACATTGAGCTGGGACGCAGCAGTCAGTTTCAGGCCACGTTTACGGATCTTGAGGCCACAGGTGGCAGCAATTTTATCATCGATCGCATTATGTGAGTGTCATTGAGCCCCAAGTTTGACAAGCACTGCTCTATAAAACGATTTCAGCGCCAAGCCCCAGGACATCTCGTATGATTTGTGGATAACACTGCCACGCATTGACTTTAAGGGCAAGTACTTTATGCGCCTCAATCTGCTGCTGCTGGACATTCAGGGCAAGGGCAATATGCGTGGCTACTGCGGTACGTAATCCCCTAAATACCCTATATGAAATCCTAACTGAACTTCGAAACCCAAACTTCCACAGATAATGCCAAGGCGGCGGTAAAGATGCGCGGCACACGCTATCTGAGAAACGGTCTCGAGTACGTCAAGTTCACCAAGATGACGATGAGAATACAGTTCAGGGATTTTAAGCTGCAGCTGGACAATCTCTTCAATGGTGATCGCATACTTGGCGAGGTGGGCAACACCCTAATCAATGACAACCAGGAGCTGTATCTTAACGAGATTGTGCCGGGCCTGGAGCGTGGCCTGTCCAAGAAGTTTCTGGATGTGGCCAATGAGATTTTGGCAACGGCCACCTTTGATGAAATGTTTCCGCCTGGACGCACCGTCATCAATCCTATACATTTTCCCAATGCGGGCGGGAATTCAGGCGCACCTGGTCCGTCCATATTCGAGACGCCTTTCTCCTCGCGTAATCCGGCAGGCGGAATTTTGGATCATCTGCCGCCGAGGAGCAATAGTCGTAATCCCTGGCCTAAGCAGCCCCCAAACAATCCAGGCGGCGGCATTTTTGGCGAGCTAACGCCTGGTGGAGGCATCATTGATCCCAGATTGAATCTGGGCAGTTAGGTTGAATGTGAATTGTTTGTTTTTAGACTTTTATTCTAAGCAAATAAAGTTATTGTTTTTTTTATTGTCCATGTCACGATGTAGTTATCGGGGCTTCGGCGAATTCCACCCGCAAGCGTGGAAAATTGGTGGAACTGTTTAAAGAGCTCTGTAACAACTTATCACAGAAGTTTTCGGAAAACTAAAATCTTTTGAGTTTTTAGTTGAGCCATAATGAAAGCATTTAATAGTTAAAAGCACCAGCTAATAGATCAAATTTCTTGGGATGGAGACCACGATATGGATTCCCCGGCACCTAATTTCGGCCCTTGACTGTGGGTACCGTTGTCTTACCCGAGCACCAATTTTGACTGTTAGTCACCCGAAATTGGCTCTGACTGTGGGTACAGTTGCCTCTTACCCGACCGCTAATTTGGCTAAGAGCGCTTAATGTCTTACTCCATTTGCTTGTGCTGGCTGAAGAAGCTTGGCAAACTTTTTAATCCACCGCAAAGCTTGAACAGTTTTGCATATTAAGCGCAAAGTTTGCGACTAAACAACACCAGGGGGACACTTTAAGGGCACACACATACAGACACCCACACACACACAGACACACACACACACACACAGCTCTGGCTGGTTTTACACCTGTTCAATGGGCATAGGGACAAACACGTGGCCAGCTTCGCGTCTTGTGATTAATCACCGGCAGCGACAAAGATGAATTTACAAAGATTTTGCCAGCTGCAAAGTTTTTATTCTCGCGCTGGGCAGTTAATTGTGTTAGCCGTAGATGGAAATGGGCCCAGAGCGAAGCAAGAAGAAGCAGCAGCAGCAGCAGCGGCAGAAAAAAGTGTTGGGCAGCGCTAATTAAATTCATGGGACGCAGCTGTCGGGACAAAAAGCATTATCGACTTTTAGGCGCTGAATATTTCAAATGAAAATGTTTTTGATGTAAACACAGGAGCAGCAGCAGCAGCATCAGTTGCTCTCGACCTACGTCCAGTTGCTGTCGAGTCAAAGGAAACCCTTGGCAACTGCCATTTTGGCCAAGTTCTGGTCGCCCGTACAAAGTGTCGCCCGAGCCGACATTAATTTCATTTATTAATTTTTAACTACGCCCGCGCACCAAAATAAAAGCAACTTGATAAATGGGCGGACCAAAATTTCAAATCTTTCGCGTGGCACATTTTACTTTCACTTTTTTTTTCCATTTTTTGGGTTTCTTTTGTGCCGTCCCCCCATCTGGCAGGCGCTTCCTTTTTTTTAGGGGAGGGGGCAGCGTTTTTCGCGTTTGCTTTGTTGTTGTTAATTTTTTTAATTCTTTGCTTTTCACTTGAAAGGCGCTTCACAAATGTGAAGAAGCGCCGCGGTCCGCTAATGTCCTTTCTTTTATCATTAAGTAGACAGCAGCGTGGGCGACTTGGGGTTGCTGCCGAGGCAGAGGCCGAGGCCAAGGCGTGGCAAGCGGCCATCAAGGCATTGTCCTGGGGTTGCCTGTGCACAGGTATTTGCGGCCATTAACGAAAAAGTAAGCGCTGTCGGCTTAAAGTTCTAAGGTTGCGCCGATGGAACAAAGTAGATAACGAACAAAAATCGCTCTCCCAGAAATTACAAACAAAAGAGCCAAAAGTGAGGACCAAAATTGATATTTTAATAATTAATAGATGCGTGTGGAAACAATTAAAATTAAACATTTATGTGCTGCATGTGTTGAGTTACAAAAAAAAAAAAAAAAAAAAAACAAATAAATAAAAAACAGAGCTTCATATAAATCGCAATGCATTAAATAATGCGAAAAACGAATACCATGCCCAATATATTGAGCCACCAGTGTATATCTAACTTGGGATTGTGGTATAAAGTATGGTATTTCGCATACCATACTTTAAGCATATACTTTAAATACTAGCAGTTCTTACTTCATATTTTAGTATAATTACAGGGAGATATATTGCGTGCATATCGACGTATATATACCCTATATATATACGTTTACAAAAACCTTTACACAAAAAATCACAGACAAATAGGCTTAGTTAGATTCAAAAAACATTTCTATTTAGAGTTTTTCAAAATACCAGTCATTGTACAACACTTGCTGTTGTTTTATACAAACAAAACCAAACTGCGATTCGCTAGAAAATTCGACCTTATTTCGACCTCCAAGTATTGGAATATTATAGAGCACTGATATAAATTTGTGATAATGGGCACTTGTGTGCAGCGTTTCTTCTGTCCCAATAAGCCAGTCTATAGCAATGGCTGTCGCGCCTTGTTCGTCTATCCCGCTGGAGGCACTTATAAGGGCTACTGGCGGCAGAATAAGCATCATGGCTGGGGCATAAAGACGACGCCAGAGCGTACCGACAGCTACTTTGCGATGAAAAAACGTCCGGAGGGACAGCTCATCTACAATGGACGCTGGGCGGAGGGCAAGCGCCAGGGCTGCGGCTCCATGATACGCAAGCGCGGCACAGATCTGCAAGTGATCTACTCGGGGCAGTGGTACGATGACATGAAGTGCGGCGAGGGCAAACAATTCTATCCGGACGGATGTGTTTACTTCGGACGTTGGCTGCGGAATCGTCGCCATGGCATGGGCATACAATGGTACGGCGATGGCAGCATCTATGTGGGCGAATGGGAGACGGACTTAAGGCATGGCCTGGGCGTGCTTTTCTATGGTAAGGCAGCTACTTCTTCGAAGCCCTGATCTACATAAGCAACCACCTGATTCCCACAGCTAATGGCAATCGCTATGAGGGTCACTTTGCGCGTGGCTTCAAGAACGGCGAGGGCGTCTTCTATCACATGCACACCGGCCAGATCCAGAAGGGCATTTGGGAGAACGACAATGCGAAGGTATCGGTTATGCAGGACGAGCCGGAGATCAGACGCAACGATAAGCCCACACCCTATCCCATTCCCAGAAACTATCTCAAATATCCCAATGAGATAATGAAGGAGCTTTTCCAACGCTACAAACCGTTTGGAGATAAGCCGCGACGTCGTTTCAACGATAAGGTCAGTCTGGAGTTTGTGCATAACAAACGCCAGTTTGCCTCCTTTGAGGAACGTCTGGCCACGCCCACAGGCTTGGATCTCTATCCAAACTCGGGCTTCGTCTGCACCTGCGAATGCAAAATCCTATAAGAAACAGTTTTAAGAATCTTTCTTTAAAATTCAAGCAAATGTTAAACTCACTTCAACATTAAATTATGGGCTACGTCAACAATGTGGGTGCTGTTGAAAAGTTATTGGGGTTAGATCTACACAAATAATAGAAAAAGGTACAAAAAATGCCCACCCTCTTAAAAAAGAGGGTATTGCGTATGTGTGAAGTGTGCACACCTGGTTTGGTCAGCTTGGGCCGTTCGGCCTGTTTTTGTCAGTTTTTGGTAATCATTTCATATGCAAATTTTCTGGTCCAGTTGTTGCCTTTGGGGACACCATTAAAAAAAAACGAGACGCTCTTCAGGACGAATATTCAATTTAATAAAGGATAATTTTCGATAGTATGGTTTTTTTTTTTCTATTATTCAAGTGGTTTTTGATTGAATAAAGCGTGTGAAAAGTTAACTTAAGCTGTTGCTGATTGGAACTGATTTAGCTTGAACCTTTTTATACTTCTGTAGAGGGTATTATAAATTTATCACGAAATATGTAACGCATGGAAGGAGACATTTTTGGCCCCATAGTGTATATATATTCTAGATCAATATCAACAGCTGAGTCGATATAGCCGTGTCCGTCTGCGCGTCTGTCAGTCTCTATTTCAAAGCAAATTTGCCTAGGTCCGCCTTCCGTTGCACGCATTACATACGTCAGAACGGATCAGACAATTTTATTATATAGCTGCCATATGAACGATTTGTCTACAAGGGTATTAAATGTTCGGCGTGCCGAAGATATCTTTTTTGCTTGTTTTATTAAGTGTGAAGTGTTGGAAAAGTTTCTTTCAATGGTAAGGCAACTACCTATTCAACTATATACTACATTTTAATTTGTATTTGATTGTGATCCAAAAGAGTTGGAAAAGAGTTTTTAACGTCAAGAAGAACTCATTGTCTGAATTATAACCTCTCAATATATTCAGATATTTAAGAAATTTAGCAATATGCGTTAGATTAAATATAAAGCAAGCAGAAAGGCTAGAATTTGAAGGCTTGGGTGCCTAAAATATATAATATAATAGATATTTGTCCGAGTTAGCAGACTTCTCTTTGGCCATGCATCTAGCTTTAAGATAATCGACTTTGAGATACCCTATGCACTGAAACAGAAAAGCTCGCATGCCCATAGCACGCGTTTAATTTGATAGATATTCCGTGAAGCTGTAAATCATTTGAATTCCTGGTTATTCGATCTTCTATTGCAGAGGTGGTAGATTTTTTTTATCAACCCTTTAAAATCCTGTTTTTTCTGCTGTTCATTAGCATAAAGTGCAGCTGCAGAAAAAAATGTGTGGTGTCATTTTTTTCCAGCCATAAATTTTCACTATGCAAATGCAACAAATAAAGGATGTGTTATCCTGGGCAATGTGGACGCGTGCCTCAGAAACTCTGCTTTCATATGCAAATGCTCGACGCATTGCCTTCAATTAACCTCGAACGGGTTTCTGCATATTTACTTTACATTACGATTTAGCTGACAGCTTGGGACTGTCTTCTATATCGACATATAGACTGGCACAAATCGAGTGCTGTTGACGTCAGTTGGGGGCCAACTCATTAATTAATACCGAGGTTCGAACTACAATTGCACGCAATTAATAATTGATGGCGGCCAAAGGCAGAAATCGTTGAGGTTTCTTTTCTTTTTTTTCGCAAGACAGCTCAACGGTTCGGTTGGATTTGGTTAATGTGGTTTGAGTTCTGAGGCCTGGGTTGGGGGCTGGTGGGCAGGATGTGAGGCAATGCTGCCTGGCGGCCAAATAATTGCAAGTGACAGGCGCTTTAATTTTTCTTCCTCTTTGGCAGCTTATTTTTAGACGTGGCCTAGCTGTGGGCGGGGCATCATCGAGTGGGGAGGCCCGGTTGCCATGTTTATGATAAACTTAATTCAGTGTAAATGAGCGGCCCCAATGAGGGTTGACAGCTGGTCGGGGCAGGGGGCTGGTGCCTAGCTAGGGGTTGGGGTCGCTTGCTGCTTACCACAAACTTTGGCGCTCGACCAAACTTCAAAAAAACAAATCTGAGCAAGAAAAGCAAAAAAGAAAGAGAGGAAAAACAACAACGAAATAAAGAAATAGCTGAAACTTTGTTCGATGGCTTTTCCGTTTGCAGTTGAATGAAATGGAAAATTTTAATTGCTCAACCTGTATGTGTGTGTGTTGGTGTGTGTACGCATCGGTGGGCAACGGGGCATGGAAATTCACTTCAGTGCAAAAGTATCTACGCAAAAAGATTAATTGGTGCTCCGAACAGAACTGAATATTTTACATATTTATTCAAGATATTCAAATCTAGTTATACGTTAATAAATACAAATTTTAGATGGTAATTACAATATTAAAGCCAAAACAAAAAGGAAATGTTGTTCGTTTAAAAAATATCTACTATAAAAATAAATGCTAAGTATCTCTTGCAAATTGCAGTTAATATAAGTACTTTCAATATCCTGACATACCTTGAAAGGGGTGGCTGTGAGTATCTCCCCCTATGAAAAAAGCTGCTAAAATTCAGCCGGTTTTGCCCCCTTTCACCGTTTCCAGTGCCCCAATTCTAATGAAATTTAAATTATTGCAATGCGCACACAAGCGCAAATGAGAACAAGGACCGAAGGCGAAACGCACATGGAACATGAAAGGACACACCGAAGGCAAATGACGAGGATGAGCGAGATGCTAATGACGATGCTCTAACTTCGCTGTAGCTTTGGCTGTATCTGAAGCTGAAGCCGCGGCAAGGACGCGAATTTCGTGGCCGTTTTCTCATTAAGCTGATGCGAGATGAGAATCCAAGCGCGAGTTAAAGCCTCAGCTCAGACGTAGGCGGAACGCGGCACACACACAAACATAAACACACACACACACACTGTTACACACGGGTGCCATAAATTATTTGCGCCAACCCTTGAAAAAAAAGCGTCGCACATCTTTTAACAGTACAAGAAAACGTAGCAGAAGAAGCAGCAGCAGGAGACGCAGCATTTGTTATAAATTAAGTGATGGGGGTGCTCAATGTGGCAACAACGGGTGCGGGTGCGGGTGCGGGTGCGGCAGGGGATGGAGAGGGGGAAAACGAAAGCATTTTAGAGGTGGGCTCATTACCGCCGCCAAGCTGGCAACCCTGTGACTTTTACCGTTACACAGCGAAACAAAACTGAAATAAAATCAAGTGACAAAAGTAAATTTACGCAGGAACCGAAGACTGAACACCCTAACACCCTTCGTACTATACTTAGATGAATATAACGAATTAGAGATAAATATATATCTATATCTATATCTATATCTATATCTATATCTATATCTATATCTATATCTATATCTATATCTATATCTATATCTATATCTATATCTATATCTATATCTATATCTATATCTATATCTATATCTATATCTATATCTATATCTATATCTATATCTATATCTATATCTATATCTATATCTATATCTATATCTATATCTATATCTATATCTATATCTATATCTATATCTATATCTATATCTATATCTATATCTATATCTATATCTATATCTATATCTATATCTATATCTATATCTATATCTATATCTATATCTATATCTATATCTATATCTATATCTATATCTATATCTATATCTATATCTATATCTATATCTATATCTATATCTATATCTATATCTATATCTATATCTATATCTATATCTATATCTATATCTATATCTATATCTATATCTATATCTATATCTATATCTATATCTATATCTATATCTATATCTATATCTATATCTATATCTATATCTATATCTATATCTATATCTATATCTATATCTATATCTATATCTATATCTATATCTATATCTATATCTATATCTATATCTATATCTATATCTATATCTATATCTATATCTATATCTATATCTATATCTATATCTATATCTATATCTATATCTATATCTATATCTTTATCTATATCTATATCTATATCTATATCTATATCAATATCTATATCTATATCTATAGCTATATCTATAGCCTCGACAAAATTCATAACAAAGTGTTAACACCTTTTAGTAGTGTGCTTATTTGAAAAGAGTAATGAAAAAAATTTGCATATTTTACGGCGCTGCGACGGCTGCTGCCCTGCAGATGGGGTTGTTCCCCCTGTTCATCTTCTTGTTGCTTGGCACGTTTGAGCTTTTGGCTATAAATAAGGCCGAACCGTGCAGAGCAGCAGCTGGAGGTGGGGTAAGTGGCAGGGGCAAGAAATGCCGCAGCGATGGCTGAGCATAAAACTAATTGCATATGCAGGCAGTCGGGCAATAATGGGATGGGTGGGCAGGAAGGTGGTTGGGGTTGATCTGCCATTGTTTTAACCCTTTGACGACCCATGTGCCCGCAACCCTTGCCCGGAAGTGGACAAGAGCAGCTCGACCAATGGGCAGCCGGCAAAGCAGCGGAGTTAACCCTTTCACTGGCCGCGGCAGGGTGAGCTGGGCACTTGGCTGGGAAGCAGAGGCATATGCCACACCCACAGCATGGCGCTTGAGGCCGCCCACACCGCGCACACTGGTAACAGCCTTGAATAACTTGCAGGAGTTTTTGTTTGTGTTGTGTTTGGGTGAAAACTTTGATTTCATTTGATTTGCCTCAAATGCGCCAAAGTTTCTTCAACCGGAAGGCACAACAGCAGCAACAACAAACTAGAGAAATGTAAAGAAGCAAAAAAAAAGAAAAAAATATGCGGCAAACAAATTAACAGTCCAGTGATTATTGTCAAAAGCAAAACGAGGAAGCAAAACAAGTGCCCTATCAACGGTACAAAAACTTTCCACAGGGCCCCATCCATGGTCAGGCGTTTCAAAATTAGAAAAGGGCATAATTTTAATGAACTTTTTTCTAAGAAGTTGCCCACTGCTGATGCTGCTGCTCCCCTACCCCTCCTCCAGCTGGCACTCGTGTAAGCAGCGGCAGCTGTCGAAAGGACTTACCAAGTTTTTCGCTGCTGCCACTTGCCCTGGCTTTTGACTTGATTTGGCCAAAGCGCGCACTTGGCTCAAAAGTTTCTCCCACCCTCT